AAAATTGATTACATTAAACTAATCGGAGAATCCCCATGGTGATGTTTACCTTCGATTCGCGTGAAAATCACAAATGGGAACCGGAATCGGAATCGGGAATTGGAACAATATGAAAGCAGGAAAAACAGGGAAACACCAAAATGCGGAAATGGGAAATGCATTTTCCAGCGAAAAGCCACAATAACAATTCAAGTGAAAGTGCCAACAATTTATGGACCATATCCCCTCTCACCAGGTGTGCGGTATAGGACATCCATATATATATATATGAAATATATATATTTTTATTGTCACCATGTCCAGCTATCAGCTAGCCCTGTAACCCTTTTCCGGGAGCGATCTGGGTCGCTGGGAAATCGCATTATGCTTTCATCTAAGTTGATTTTGTGGTTCCATCTGTCCTCCGAGCCTTGAATCAAAAGGATACAAGTGCCGAACGGGCCAAAAAAAAAGGCAAAACTGTGTCGAATGTGAAACATGTTTTGGGTTTGGGACCAAATCAAATTTGCCAGCCCTGTCAGGACAGCCACCACAACAGGAGCTGAAGAATAAAAATGGCGAAAAATGTTAACACAAAGTTTGACAAACTGTGGGAGTACCTAGTTTTTTGTTTTGTGTTTATTTCTTTGAGGAAAAAAATCATCCATAAAGAAATCTATAAATTGTAATTAAAAAACTAAATATTTTTAAACTCTGTATATTTTAAAAACAAGACATTAAAAATAAAACTAACAAAAACTAGGAGAATTCAATCAGTTAGTCACATTTTATAAAAATGGCGAGGTACGTTAAACAATTTGGTCTCACTATTATTTAAGATTATCACATTTTTAGGTCGTATATATAGTAAGTTATAAAAACATTTTCATCTCGTACTTTTTTCCATATACCCTTTTCTACAAACTCAGCAGGATACCAAAAAAAAGTGCTACAAAAAAGTGAAAAAAGTACAAGAAAAATAGAGAGAAAGGATTATGCTTCGGGGACGAGTCACGTTCCTGTTTGTCTGGCCAATTACAATTTTATAACAAAATTTTGTCGAAAGCCAAGGGCACATTTTCAGCGAGGATGTTCTCCCAGATATCCTGAGACTGCCTTTTCCAGTCCCCTACTGTCCTGGCGAGCTTAAAACTGTGAATCGAGTGCTGTCAAAGCCGGAAATTTTGACAAAGGCTAATGCAAATTGAAGTGACAATTCGGTTGCCTGGAATATGTATGTATAAACATTCTTGGAACATAAATTATAATTAAGCAGGATTCTGATTGGGATTCGTGTTCTTTGTGTATTTTGTATTTTGCGTATTTTGTTGCGGTTAGTCCCGATGCCCCAGATTTACACAAATTGCTGTTGACAGTCTGTGCCAGAGAGTTGTGAAAACTTATGCATATATTTTGGGGAAAATAGTATCGTGTTGCCGTTTGTTTGACTTTTGGCGAATCGCCTGTCGGATTAGCCAGAGCCAGCCTGGCAAAAACAATATTTAAATTACAAATTCAACAATCGCCCACTCGACGCCAAGGACGACTAGGATGAGACGCCTTCATCTATCAAAATCCATGGAAAATTGACTTGCCAGCCATAAAGTGCAGATAAAATGCACACATACACCTCGCTCCTTGGAGGCGAAAACGATTATGTTCTCATGATCACACTTGGTCTAATCTTTCTTCTCGAAAACCAGAGCCGGCCATGTGTAATGGCATTTTGACAAATTATCCATCCATAAGCCATAAATACACGCCTGCACTTTGCACTCGAGGCAGCTATATCATGTGCTTTAAGTTTTTAAAAAAGGGTGTTTAGGCTTTAAAAAAAATTATTAATTTATTAAATATTTACAAAGGCAAAGTATTTGAAAATATTTATAAACAAGGATTTTAATTTTTTTCTATACAAAAATTCTGTATTGGAATAAAATATACAAAGTATCCACATATCCAAACCACCCTTATGCGAGGATGACTTCTACCGGCCTGACTGAAACTAGGAAGTTATCTCAAGTGCCTCTAATTTTGCCTTCATAATTTGCCATAAAATCCACACGTTCATTTACAAATCATTTATCATAATGCCGCCAACGCAGCTGACAAAGTGGCTTTCCACTTTCCACCCAAGTAGCAGGCACAGGGGCAGCCAAATCGAGGGGGTGTCTCAGATAATACTAGTGTACCAAGAAAAAATATTTTAAGAAAATGGGTCGCAAATGTTTTGTCACACTTTTGAAAAATATTAGAAGAAAGCTATTAGTTTCTTCATTTATTTTCTAAGCTATTTTCTTTCTTTTTTGGTGTGACCAGATTATGTAGAAAACATATAAATCCCTAAAACTTTTTGAATTATCAAGTTATCTTCATATATTGGGTTTTAATTTACTTTTCATTTATAGTGGTTTTTATATAGGACTAAAAAAGTAAATTGTTCCTAGCTTTTTAAAACATATCTAACGCATTGTAAACGATAAAATACTTGAAAAATTTTTCGTATAACCTTTAGAGATGTATTTAGAAAAATATTTTCTGCAATTAAATTAAAATATAAAAATGAGAATTTTCTCCAAGTGTCAGTGGTGTTGCGGATATGTGGGTGTCTGGCAATAGGATGCCTAGTGCCACTTGCGACTTTAATAAAACTTTTCGCTCGGCCTGACAGCCCCGAGAATGGAAAGCGAGTGAGGGAAAACCGACATGAAAAACACTTTTCACGACGCGGAGTGGGCGGGTCCGCCTGCACTCTGGCCTTCTCATTTGTTTCTTGGATAACTTTCAAGGGGGTCCGGGCCGGCTATTTGTCTCCAAGCGAGATTCTTTTCCAACTCGGAAAGGAGACTAAAATAGCTCGGTGTTCCAATTACTTTTCATTCACAGTGTTTCTAACTAAAGTCTATATTATGCGATTATTCAAAGAAAAATAAGCGATTTCTTGGACCTTCTTCATGCAAGCATTTAAGACTGTAATAATAATGTTGTCTTTATAAGACTTTATTAGTTCATTCTGTTCGCAAAAACCAGCGCTTGAGAAAAGTCTTGAACTAAAACTTAGTGGTATGGTGGAAGGGGTCTGGTGGGTAAAGACACTATATTCTTTGTTTTTGACGTTAGCGGCTATTTTTTTGTTACAATCCCTCTATTTTTAGCATGTTTCAGACTTTTTTATCTCATATCTCTTTTGTTTCTGCATTGTTGTTCCGACATATACAAATGCAGCAACAGTCTAAAGTAAGTGTGGCTTGGAGATGGCATAACCTTTTTCTAAAAAAATATTAACAAAAAAAGTCAAACATTTGATTAATTTTTGATCGAAATGATCGGTTATTGTTGGTTTTCATTTAAAAGTTAATAAACTTTTCCCTCTTTTTACTCAGCACAGTTATTATTTATGTTGTGATTTCGATAAGAAATATTTTTGATTTTAGTACTTTTTAATTTATTGATTGTTTTGTTTTCTCGCAGTACACTCTCATCTCTAGTGGCATCTCAGGTGTAATGGCTTCTGAGACTTTCACGCCAAGGTTGCAGAAAAAGGAAACAAAACTGTAGCAAAAAAAGACTGCATGCAAAATGAGTTTGCTGTTGAGATTCAGTCTGCTGGGCTGCTGATAGGGCACACACACAGAGCCACAGTCATCACATGCATTCAAGTGTTTGAGGTAAAATTTCCCCACTTCCTCTTTAACCTTTTTTTTTTGCTAAGCCTCTGGTTGTTTGGGCTGTAGCCTACTTTTTGGGGCAAGGGCAGAGAAATGATTCAATTATTTGCCTTAAATTGGTTGTGCACGAAATCAAGTGTTCTAGAAAAACAGGCGTTTTACTATAAAATAATTGGATTATTTTCCAAGAAAAAGTCCTTCGAATAAAATTATATTCAATGGAAAATAGAAATGTTTATCAACGATATTAGTTATCTTTACACTTTATTTAACTGAAATTCCTTCATTTACTCAATTTATTAATTAGCGACTTATGAATTGCAGCTTAATGTGTATTTTTGCCAGCCTATTAAGCTTTTTTGCAATACTTTCAGAATTGCAATCTTAACGATCTGAGACTCCCCACTTTCCCTGGATTTTGTGCGCTTTTTCCTTCCGTAATGGGATATAAAAAATCAATTAGCTTCCGCTTGAATGCTCAGCTCTTGCAGTCGTTTTTATGTTTTTATGGCCTTCCCCCCAGCACCCGGCTTCATTTGCAATTATTACGCATAATTTGCCAGAGGTCGCTAATGAAAGCGCTGGTCGGATGCGAGTTTGACTTTTTTTTATGGGGAGCGGAGCGCACCGCCCACCAGCCAGGCCTGCTCCCACACAAGAAAATTTTTGCTTAAGCCCAGATCACAGCTTTAATATATTGATGGAGAGCTTCGTTGCTAGTGTATTTGTGTCTGGATTAATTTTGTTTTAGGGCTGTCTTTTATTTCTTAATTAAATATGTGTTTTTGGTTGGTATTTGAATGAGGAAAATAAAATTGTTAAGGTTCTTGCGGAATTAAAATCAATTTGATTTGTGGGCTAAAAAGGAAAGGTGCTTTTTATAGGGACAATTGGAGTGTGACCATGTATTTTCTTTTAAGATAGTGAAAGTGTGAACAGAGAAAATATTGAAAAAATTAAGTTTTAAAAATAAGTTTTAAATAAAATATATTTTTTTTTGGTTGTTTGCAAAGTTTAGGCACTTTGTTTTAGGGGATATTAAAAAGTGTGATCAGGAGTAAACGATATACTTTGCTTTACAAATTATTAAACAATCCAGTAAAAAAATAATAAAATAATAATTACAACCACGGCCAGATTCTATTTCCTAAGTTTAGGTTTTCATCCTTAAAAAATTTCCTAGATAGTTTTTTTGTCATCAATTTTTATTAAGGATGTGATCTATATACATACATATGTATATTATAAAGAATAAACAATTCTAATTTTGGAAAAATGTTCTTAGAGAACCCGTTTAAAATTAAATATGATTTAAATTTATTTTTATATATAGTTTTCTTTTAGTGTACTCACCCAGTATGACCAGCCCGTTGCCAAGTAGTCCAGCGAATCCGATAATGCCGAAAAATACGGGCACTATCGTGGACACAATCCGCTCGAGAGCCACACTCTCCGGATCGTACTCCATCGAATCGTTGGCGTTGTGGTCGGAGGAATATGGGAAATTATTCCCACTACCATTTCCATTGGCACTGCCACTGCCGCTGCTACTGCCAATCCCATTTCCATTTCCATTCGCATTCCCATTTCCATTTCCATTCCCATTGCCACTGCCATTCGCATTGTAATTGTTAGTGTAGTTGCCACCAGTGGCATCCACTGGGCTGCCGTTCTGGCTTGTGGCGGCCAAAGAGGCTCTGGGCCAGCTGCTAATTAGGATGGCCAACAATAGGGCCACCACCCGAAGGTTGCCCATTTTTGGATCGATTCTTTCAATATCTCTATCACTATCTATCTTTGGACAAGTGCGTGGATGGGGCAGGGTGTGGGCTTTTTAATTGGGCCCCTGCCTCCCAAAACGGCTCGCTCTCGCCTTCTAGTTTTATCGATATCCTTTGATTGTATCAAATGCCGGCCACGCCCACCGCATAATTTGCATTTCCGTGAGTTATTTATCCGTCCGCCTGCAAGAGACAAATAGGAGTAGAGCCATAAATAATTTAGATGCAGATACAGATGCCGAGATACGGATACAAAGATGTGCAGATACAGATACGTGGCCATAGAGGCAAGGCAAATAAATCCCCATCTCTATCGGGGTAATAAATGGACGAGAACAGTCAAGGCCAACCTGCCACCCACACCCCCACGACCCACCCCATGTACGTGGGAGGTTGTTTTGGTTTGGTTTTTATGTTTTCAAAGTAAAATATTAGCCACAGTGGGTTAAGTAATGAAAAGTTGGGCTATTTATAATTTATTTATCATTAATTAAGTTTCTTTAAATTGTATTATAATTTAAAAGTTTAATATCCTATAGTTGCTAAAATAAAATAAAGTTTGCCCTTTTTATTAAATTTAAGATTTCAAATTTTTAAAGGGATTCAAAGGCAATAAAAAGATAGATTTTGAAACCACATTTGCAACACTTGGAAAAATTTTAAGAAAAGCAATACAATGTAATATTCAAATAATTATTGAAATAAAACAGAAAAAAATAACTAAAATATAAGGTTATTGAGAAACGACACACTTAAATTTTTGGACTTTTCTTGGCCGGTTAATAATTTAAATGTAATAAACATGTAAAATAAGTCTAGGTCAGTTTTACGTTATTTAAATAATTTAAAAAAAAAAACCATTTTGATAAGTGTACATTCAAATATTCACTAATTAACTAATATTACGGCCATTATATAGCGAAGTCACCAAAAATCATATAAACAATTCTTGTGGCTTATCACTAATTTTTTAACCTTTGACAACACATCCGCATGCGTTCATTTTTGTAGATGCTAGGAACCTAAAATAGAAACTTTTAAGCTCGGAAATTATTTAAAACTCCGAAGCCACAAGTTTCAAAGAATTAATTTAAATGCAATCAGTGGCTCGTAAACACAAAACATAAAACCCTCGTTTCGTTCAATCAAAAAAACAAAAATGATCTGTCCGGTAGTTTTCTTTTTTGGAGTTTTTTTTATTTCTGCCTCCCAGGGAGACGAACACGAAGTAATGACGGCTTAAAGTGTGTTTATTTTTTAAATCTATTTCTAAATTCAAATTCTACAGTCATGCTATATGTCGGATGAGATGGAAGAAAACTGTGCCGCGGTCTGCTATCCTATTGTGAAGCCTATGCTGCGGTATTTTGAGAAGTGTCAGAGCAACGAGGCGAAGTACTCTCAGTTGCAGAATAAATATGCAGAACTTCTGGAAAAAAATTCAAATTTACTGCTTAAACTCAATGAAGTCAGTCGTCAATATGAGGAATCACAATCAAATAACCAAAAAAATGATATGGAACTTGAGCATTTAAAAGCTCAAATAACAAAGTCAACAACTCAAACCGAAGGTATATTGAACAAACCACAAAGTCGAAAATGAAACTATAAATTTTTTAGCTCTTTCAGATCGTTGCCATCCATCACCAAATGAGAAATTTGTCGCCCAAGAGATTCAAATCCCCGATTCTGAGTTTTTCAAAGTGGTTTGTCACACAAAAAAAAGTACTGAATCTGTTTATATGATGGTTTATCGGAAACTTTATAATTCATCAAAGTTTAATCATACATTTGAGGAGTATACAAGGGGATTCGGAAATGTCGGTGTGATGCAAAAAGAAGAGTTCTTTATCGGGTTGGAGAAACTGCACCTTCTGACTGAAAGAAATCCCCATGAGTTATGGATATTCATGTATCCATCGGGGCACCTAAAAGAAATAAGATGCGAAAACTTTGTTTTGGGCAGTCAAAGCGAAGGCTATATGGTGAAAACCCTCAACGGATGTACTGAAGACTCAAGCATTTTGAGTCAGGGCATAAAATTTTCCACCTTTAATCGATATGAGGATGAAAATCCTCTTCAAAATAAGGCAACAAAGTTGGGCCTTGGCTGGTGGTTCGATTCTAGGTGCGTATTCCCATTTCTTTTTACCTTTTACCTTTTCAAATATATCCAAAAGGAAAATTAAAAAAAAAATTCATGAAACATAGTCATATAACTTGTTTTTATAACATATATTTTTATATTTTTTTTCATTTGATAGAGTTAAAAGAAGCACTTTAAATGATGCTATTGTGCTGAAGATCCTAAGGAAAAATTGAAAAAAAAAGAAAACCAAATGGACTTAAGATAATCAAAAATTATTCAAAAACATATCGAAAATTAATATATTAAATTTATAAAGTAAATATTTGGCGTTTTTAATATAATTTTCAAACAAAGTATGTGTGTTTAATATATTATCTACATTTAAATGAGCCCCAAGTATCTTAAAAAATGAATAATCGACTTTTGTTTATTTATAAAGATTATCTCAGTTGTTCAACTGTTTATTGCCTAACAAAAAAAAAAAAATAATAAAAAACGTTCATTAATTTATTATTATTTGTATTATATGAATATTTTACTTTTTTAAACAAACGATTTTTTCAAATTTAAATAAAAAATAAAACTAGAGTAAAATCTATGAAAAGCAGTCCCACAGTGTATGGACCACTGGCCATCATCTGCATGGCCATGTAAAAATTATGCAAAATTAATTTAATTCCATTACATGGTACCACATGGACATGGGAGTGTGTGGGGTTGGGGGCGGACTAGAGTGGACCTTGGAAAACATTCATCACATTTGCATACCTTAATAAATAACATTGATGCCCAAATCACATGGACATCCAGGGAACACATTACGCATACGCCACGTGCTCCGCATCAATTAGTCGACGAAGGATAACACTTGTATACATTTCGTTTCCTGTTTCCGTTTTTGTTTTTGGTTTTTTAGACTTTTTTGTTTGGTTTTGTTTAATGTCTTCACACTCTAACTACTTGGGGTTTGGAGAGGAACGGCAGACAGCCGGACTAATCGAGGAGACATATGTGCTGTCATGTCTGGAACTCAAACTGAAATGGCACGCACCGAACGCTGACAGTTGGCTTAAGCTGTCAATTAACATATTATTAAGCGAGTAACACTCCGACGCAAGCAGGATGAGCCAAAAGGACGACCAGGGGGATTGACAAACGATGAAAACCGACAAAAAAAAATGCATAGGGAAAGGGCAAGGGAACACGAAAGGACGTCGCATAATTGAGGGACACTGAAATTGTGGAACTTGAGTTTTAAGAGTCCTTTCTTCGCAAACCTCGTAGAGACATAAAAAATTAGCCCAAGGTGATGTTCTTTGTTATGCCAAGGCAACAAAAAATAGTTGATGATGTGTGACTAGACCATTACAAAAATTTAAGTTACCCATGAGTCAGTTTTAATGCTAGGGCTTTAGTTTAGGATTAAAAATTTAAAGTTAAGAGACCAAGAAATTGTTATGCATATATTAACTCAGTGAGCCAATACTTTCACATACTTCTCGTAACCTCAAAATAGTCCTTCAATAAATTTTAATTATCTATAATTATCGGTATGATCATATCACTTGTTGAAATAAAAAGTTTTTGAAATTGTTCAAGGTATATACATAATTTATTTAATAAAAGTTTGCCTATTAGCAAAGGATAGCAGTTTGACCAAATTATTAAAGCTCATAGTGTGATGAAGCATGTGTTTAATTGGGACTATTTAATTGGAAAAATATTGAATAAAAGCGAAGATTTCAAAATTTTTTTATTCTAGAATATTTTTGTGGTCAAACACAATTTAATGGAAAAAAATACATAAACATAAAATATGCTCCATGGCATAAAATTTGCATCTGCACAACAAAATTGGAGTCATGATTTGGACAGATTGTATGCATAGAAACTGACAGAGTGACATAATAAAATACCCCTATTTATATATATACACTACATGGAGTATATTCCGCAGATACTGGGGGATATACATAAATTATTCAGATAACATCGACTAGCCCACTCAGCTCAGACGAGTGCTTCTGTCACAAATTTCCACTTAGTTGACAGTGAATTATTTTCATGGCACTTTTAATTAAATCAAGCAATAATTATGAACTGTTTGTCTCTTATTCTTATCGATGGCATTATTATTCATTTTTACAGTATTTATGGACTGGTGGTTAAATGCGACTTAATGGTTTGGGTTTTCTAAACGAAAACGATTTATGTTGAGCATTTTAAGCTGTTTTGATTTACGGCTTCGCCGCTCCAAGCCAAACTGTTTATGGATTAGAGGGGCAAATAAAAAGTGGGGCTCCATTTGAACGACCGGAACTGGCTTGATTTTGCTCCGATTTCAGCCCACTTCCCACTGGCTTTTCCGCCATTTTCCAAAGTCACGAGGGCAAGCGGGCATGAAATTGAATTTGTTAGTTCCTCGAGTGAAAAGTGTCCATCGAGGAGGCCACTTGAGGCCTGAAACACTTCACAACAATGTCGACTTGGCAAGGAGTTGATGGAGAAATCCGATGGGGATGGCCATTCATCCTTCCCTCCTTTTTTCCTTTGTTTGAGTAGCTCGAGAAAGCGGTTGAGAAGTTAAATATATATTATAGGGCAACTGAGTCATTTGACTCTTGGTTTTTGATTTAATTTTTAGACGATGCGTTATTAAATTGAAGGTAAAAACGCAGTTTAATTTACCTAAAAAATTCGATTTCAAATATATATTGGGTGTTGGGGCGAAAGCTATCAAACTCAAACAAAACAGACTGGTTTTGTAGTGAAAATACTAGTGAGGATAATAACTAGCACATACATTTTGTTTATTTTTTTGTTTTTATGTTTATTTCACTTTTAAAAATGATCCTCAATATTGTTCTTTTAAAAAGTAAAGAAATCCTCAATCAGTATTTAATATTCATTAAGTATTAAAGCTTAATGATTGAAGCTTAAGAATAATATATAATAAATATAAAATATAATTTAAATATAAATATTTAAACTCATATTTTTATATTTTATTCATACATTTACAAAAAATAAAGTCTTGTGCTTAAAGTCAGTAAAAAAACCATTTGTAAACATAATATCTTCAATTATAACTACA